AGCCTAAGTCAGACACTTAACCGACTGAGCCACCCAGGTGCCCCTAAATCAGATATTGAAAATAACACAGGAGAGTGTTTCTGTTTAAAGAAACCCTGTACTAAGTTTTCTGTAACATAAACAATTCATTCTCATTCATTCCCTTGCCTCCCCAAATGAGTCTGTACATTTATATTTTGATATCAGGTCACATTAAACATTCAAAACATCCTTCACCACTGTAGCTGGTCAGCTGTGTTTGTTGCTATTAAGTGGATTTTTCCTCAATGGTTCTGTGGCAAGAGATTTCATAATTTCTACTATACTTACATTCAATTCTTAATTATTCAGGATTATAGTAGGTATAGTGGGGACATAGGAACTTCAAAAAAAAGCTTCCTCACCTCAATTTAGTCATTAATTTTAGCTGAGAGATTTGTGGAGTTTTAATAAATAAAAATTGAGAGATCAATTATTTTTCTTTCCTCACTTTCTAGAGAAGAGACAGCTAAATTTGGGGCACAGAGTAGGTACTCAGTAAATATTGGGTGGTCAATATGTTGATGGAGACACTGTAATAGCTATAAACTAGACAGCAAGGAGCAGAACGAAAAATTAATATTAAACAGATAAGTAACAAATACAAGATAGGGTTGGCAAAATATAGCCAGTGGGCAGAATGTGGCTTGCTGCTTATTTTTGTACAGCTCACAAGCTAAGAATGGTTTTTATGTCTTTTAAATGGCTGAAAAAGAAATCAATCATGACATATAAAATTATTTAAAATTAAAATTCCATTGTCCAATAAAAGCTATGGAACACAACCATATAATGTTAATGTGCTTTCTCACTAAAATGCCAAGAGTGGGTAGTTGTGACACAGACTGAATATCCTTGCAAAGCCAAAAATGTTTACTATCTAGCCCTTTATGGAAAATCTGCCAACCACCGGTATAGTGGAAGGAGGCTGGGTGTCAGGATAAGAGGATCATTCAGACTCTAAATAAAATAACTGACTAATCCTGGCAAGAGATGAGGTCTCAGTCATTAAATGTCTTCATTTGGAGGGATGAGATTCCATCCATAGCCTTCAAGGTACCTTTAGTGCTTGTATGTGTGAAATAAATGAGCCAGAGTTATTCACCTTGACATTTGAGATGATGGTTGGTCCAACAAAGTTGCCATTTTCATAGCCTTTCACTTTAATTTTTCGACCATCAAGGAGGATAGAAGCTCCCTCCTTTGTTCCACTATCAATCAGATTACAGACTCGCTCTTTGGCCTGGGGGGTGATCAGAGGGCCAAGATCAGCTCCAGGCTGGTCTCCTGTAAAACAACACAAAAGTATTTAATGTTTTCACTAACATATATTATGACTGCTAACTATGACAAGTACACTATAAAGAGAGGAATGGTTAAAGAGTAGACATGATTACTCCCACTGGTCAAAGCCAACACTAAAACCAAGAGCTTAGTGCCACAGATGCAAAGTCTAAAGGAGCTAGGCAGATAACTGATTACCTGCATTGACTCTCAGGTTTTTGGCACGCTCCACCAGCTCTGGCAGCCACTTCTTAGCTTCTCCTACAAGGATTGCTGTGGAAAGAGCCATGCAGCGCTGACCAGCAGCTCCAAAGGCTGCCCCAACCAGCTGGTTCAGGGTATTCTCCTTATTGGCATCTGGCATGACTACTCCATGGTTCTTGGCTCCCTAAAGGAAATACAAAAAGTACATGGATCTTCCTTGGCAAAATACAACGAGGCTAAGAAACTAAGCAAAATCTGAGATTTCAAATAATTTAAGGAAAGAGAGAATTTACCCTTTGTTGTTCTGAGGCTAGATTTATTATCATTTTGATACTGTGAAATCTTGATAGCATAGAGTAAGTCTCCAGGTTACTTTTTTTCTACTTTCTTAGCTGATAAGCTGTTATATGTTTATTTAGATCAAAATCATTACCAACAAGACAAAACCAAACCTCCAGTCACATAATCACATTCAGTCAAACTGACAGACTAAATACTGCACCCAGGAACCAAGAAGAACTCCCTTCTCTTTCCTAAGTTAGACAGGAAACAGTCTATTGTCTGCTGGGATTTCCAGCTATAAGAAGAGCAATGTGAACAAAGAGCTGCCAGTATAATACCGGTGGTCAGCTGAATGGCGAAATAGGTGGACTTCTTGATACACCATTTCTGGAAAGAGGTTCCCCAAATTGGCTTGCTTCTAGATACATAGCCTCATAAATTTCTTTACTAGGTAGGATAACATGGTCATTTCTAAACATATGTTTCCAAATACAGTAATCTCCCCTTATCTGGGGTTTCACTTGCCATGGTTTCAGTCACCCAAGGTCAACTGAAGTCTGGAAACTATGCCTCCTAACACTTTGCCACAATGCCCACGTCATTCATCATCTCACTTCATCTCATAAGGTAGGCGTTTTATCATCTCACATCATCATCATAAGAAGGGTGAGTAAAGTATAATATGATAGCTCAAGAGACCATATTATTAAAAACATTTTTTTTTTGGGGGCGCCTGGGTGGCGCAGTCGGTTGAGCGTCCGACTTCAGCCAGGTCACGATCTCGCGGTCCGTGAGTTCGAGCCCCGCATCGGGCTCTGGGCTGATGGCTCAGAGCCTGGAGCCTGTTTCCAATTCTGTGTCTCCCTCTCTCTCTGCCCCTCCCCCGTTCATGCTCTGTCTCTCTCTGTCCCAAAAATAAATAAACGTTGAAAAAAAAATTAAAAAGAAAAAAAAACAACATTTTTTTTTTTAACGTTTATTTATTATTGAGAGACAGAGTGACACAGAGTGTGAGTAGGGGAGGGGTAGAGAGAGGGGGAGACACAGAATCTGAAGTAGACTCCAGGCTCTGAGCTGTCAGCACAGAGCCCGACGTGGGGCTCGAACTCACGAACTGTGAGATCATGACCGTGCCGAAGTCAGTCGCCTAACCAACTGAGCCACCCAGGTGCCCCATCAAGAGACCATATTATTATAGTGTATTGTTAAAATTCTATTTTATTATTAGTTATTATTAATCTTTGTGCCTAACTTATAAATTAAAATTTATCATTGACATGTATTTATAGGAAAAATATAGTATAGAGTTCAGTACTATCTACAGTTTCAGGGATCCACTGGGGGTCTTAGAAGGCATCCCCCACAGATTAGGGGTGACTACTGTACAACTATAGTTGAGTGCATGGATACCATGTTTGCTATTTAATTTTATCCCATTACACATAATATACTGTTAGACACAGAATAAACTCAATAAATATGTAATGAGATGGGAGTGGCTTAAGTCAAATTGTCCAAAACACATTCACCAGGAAAAGAAATAAGTGAGCATATCAGGAACTGTTTCTAGGCCTGTGCATAGGTGGCTGTCCTTTCAGCAACATTAACCAAAGGGAGAAAGAGGCAACTGGATTTACATTTAGTATCAAAGAATTACTATGTACTTGGCAAGGAGCTAGTAAGAGAATAGTAAAACTACGCAAACAAGTAAACCATACTCACATACAGGGTATTTGGCTCCTTCTAGTACCTTAGATAGCATGGACTCTTAGGAAGAGCATATCTGACATTATAGTAGTTGGGATATGTGTTGAATGGAAGGAAGGAGAAAGGGCTAGAAAGGTATGAAGGAAGAAACAAGGCCAGAACTAGAATTCAGCTGATACTGCTAAAGCCAAAGAATTTGAATAACATTCTTAATGAGAAAGGTGCTCTTTGTCACCAAGATAAAGTGTCTAAGATAAAAAGTAATTAAAGTGGCTTAGGATAAAAATCATTACCAGGTTCATGGTTAAAAGGAAGACATTCAGGATGAAATGGGAATAAAGACACATTGGCATGACAGTGGGATAGTAATGCCTCGGCTGAAGGGCTGTTTGTAGGTAATTTTATTATTATTTTTTAAAGTTTATTTATTTTGAGAAAGAGAGAATGAGCAGGGGAGGGGCAGAGAGAAAGGGAGAGAGAGCCCAAGCAGGCTCCATGCTAGCAGTGTAGAGCCTGACACAGGGCTCAATCTCACGACCGTGAGATCATGACCTGAGCAGAAATTAAGAGTCGGACGCTCAATTGACTGAGCCACCCGGGGAACCCCTGTAATTTTAATACATATAACAGATTTGGGGGGAAAAACGAATAAGAAGTCACCATATTGGCTTGAACTCTCTTGCCATGTCTTGACCCTCTCTCGAAGATGTACTCTCCTGCCTGGTTGGATCCCACAAAGCTGATTGCTTTGATATCCGGATGATCACAAATAAAGTTTACAGCTTTAAGAAGAAAAGAAATGATTACCACAAAGGAGCAAATGGCTGTGGGCTTCTCAACATGGCAAATTTGCCTTTTTCCATTGCTATGAATGAGAAGTTTCTATACTTCTATTTTTCTAGTTTCGATTCCCATTTTGAAGTTCTTTCCTTTCTCTTAAATTCTTTAAACTACTATTTCTATTTAGCCTCTTCCCTTTCATTATTTTTCTCATTTGTTATACCTACTTCTAACTCCAAAGGCTACAACTCCTGTCTTCCTCCAAAATAGCAGCCTTTTAATACTCAACTCTTCCTTTTATCCTTTAAGAATGTGATATTTCTTTAACTGTTACTATATACTGGGACTCTCAGATACTACTGTGCTGTCATGTGAGCAGCAAGATAGCATGATTTAAAAGTAAAAACCAGAGTTTTCCTGGGTACTGACAGTCTGGCTTTGATTGTTTCTAGCAAATGACTTCATTTCATTAAGCCTCAGTTTCCTTACCTGTAAAATGGAAAAACAATAGTATCTACTGTTTATAGATTTCATAAACCTAAGGATTGTTTATAACACTCCTTAAAGGAGTGTTATAAAGATTAAATGAGATAATATATGAAAAGCACTAGAAACTGCCTGAAACACAGTAGTGCTTTTTAAGTGTTAGCTATTACTATGTGAATTAGAAGGCCTTCAGTCTCTCTGAGGTCTATAAATTTTTCAGTATCGAACTGAAAACATTCTCTTCTATCTCTTTTGTCTTGACCTAATCCGTATTTCTTTGTCCCAATGTATTCTGTAGGGCCAGAAGCACTGCTATTCCCCAGTCAGTTTCCTTAGCATACAGGGATGGCAGTCAACAAACATTACCTTCAAACATGGAGGTTACTATCAGTAAATCCCTTCCTCCCTAGGTTCCTCATCCTAAAATATTCCTTCACCACTCAACACCTTGATTTTTTTTGGTAGCCAGATTAAGTGCCATGTACAGAAGGGCAGTTACCTTCATGTTGTCCATGGATGATATTTAGTGTTCCATCTGGGGCACCAGAGTCCTGGAACAACTTAGCAAGAAGCATGCTTGCTCCAGGAACTCGCTCTGATGGTTTCAGTAGGAAGGTATTTCCACACACTATGGCCATTGGAAACATCCACAGGGGGATCATGGCAGGAAAATTGAATGGAGCAATGCCTGCACACACCCCCAGAGGCAGACGGTAGGAATAAAGGTCCATGTCTTTGGTGATGGATGGCATAGTCTCTCCCAGCAGGAGGGATGTTACACTGCAGGCATGCTCAACCACCTCTGCAACAGAGAAGCAGTCAGACCACCAGCTCTCCACCGGGCACTACTTAGCTTTGTCCTGCTCTAGTCATCCCTGAGACAGAGAATGGCTCATGCCAAAGACACACGGCAGAAAGATCGACTTGCCCATCCATGTGAAGGGGCTGAGCAAAATGAGATTCTCCAAATAGGAAAAAAAAAAAAAAAAAAAAAAAAAAAAAAAAAAAAAAAAAAGACAGTGAAATGCATATACCTACTGGACGATCAAGTAAAATAAATGAAATAAACTGATCCCATAGGTACCTAAGAAGTATTGCCATTTTCCACAAGTATTAAAAAAGATCATGGGATAGGAAAATCTACATGGAAGAAGCAACTTCCTGTCCCGAGATCTTTGCCTCCCATCTTCCTTTGCTCCTTCCCAAAGGGTTCCTGAACTCCCCGAGAGGGACTCCCAGCTTACGAAGGCCTCGGAATACATCTCCTTCAGCATCAGCAAGGGTCTTCCCTTGTTCCAACGTGATTAACTTGGCGATTTCTTTCTAGAGAAAACACACACAGAAACCAAGGCAAAGATGTGCCTCCTTTTAGTTCTTAGGTAGCCAAAGAAGAACAAAACTGGGGGAGAAGTAGTATAAGGGAGAGAGCCATGATCTCTGTCTCTGCATGGTAGAGTTACAAGGGCAGCTAAAAGGCCTTCTGCATCCTAGGCAACAGCTTGGAAAATAATACCATTCTGATTTCTTACCAAGTTTTCTTTAATGAGTTGTTGATAGCGGAGCAGGATCTGCTGGCGGCTTAATACTGAAGTGTCCGCCCATGCGGGAAAAGCACGTTTGCAGGAAGCAACAGCCGTGTCCATTTCGGCCTTGGTGGCCAGAGGAACATGACCAATGACCTCATTGGTGGCCTGATGGGAAAGAGCAGCACATCATATTTTGCCCCTTGCCTGCCTTGTCCATTTTTCACCTAGTCATAGAGGCAGCACTATGTACCTCACGACAAACACCCAAGTCCCTAATTTCCCACCACGTTCCCAGAATTCTAGGCTAGTCAGTTTAAATCCCAAAGTAGCTTTGCTTACTGGGTTGTGGATGTCAATCCATTTGTCACTTTTGGATTCAACAAATTTCCCATCAATGAAGAGCTTTACAGTTGGCTGGAAAATAAAAACCCCACAAAACTTGTATTAGTGAATTGTTCCTCTCCCTTTCACAAAGAGGAAGGAATTCAGGGTTGATAGTGAATCTTCTGTTCTCTAGAAATGCTAACACTAAGAAAGAGATACACAATGTACTTGTCTATAGTGTTAAGATGTGGCCGAGCCTCTCAATACTGTGATTTCTCTGAGGAAAAGTCCCTGCTAATCACACAGTGGAACTTTATGTTACTGTGAAGCATCGACTGAAAAAGCAGCAGATTCTGTATTAACAAAGATTAGCTAGTTGACTTGTTTACCCAGCTGACTTTTTATCATGTCACCATGAGCATGAATTACATTTATGATTAAAAGACTAGAGCCGAAGTCAGACACTTAACCGACTGAGCTACCCAGGCACCCCTCTGTGTGTGGTTTTTCTGAGAAGTAGCTTCCTTACATTAAATTTTCAAAGGAGGCTGTGGACCAAAAAAGGCGAAGGACTACTATGTTATAGTGTGTCCATGCTTTTAAATAGAAAGGATTTCGAGCACCTGTCCTTATGTGTTAGATTTTAGGTACTGCAAATGGCTGACAATTCTATGAAAACAACTTTAAAGATTGTGAAGAAGAGGACAACTATCTGGCAGGATCAATAAACCCTCTAGAAGCCATGAAAATGTTTGTATTTTTTGACACAGTAATCCTACCTCAGAAGGACAATAATCTAAAAGAAGGAAAAAACTATATAAATAAATGTTTGTTTTAAAATTTTTTTTTTTTCAACGTTTATTTATTTTTGGGACAGAGAGAGACAGAGCACGAACGGGGGAGGGGCAGAGAGAGAGGGAGACACAGAATCAGAAACAGGCTCCAGGCTCTGAACCATCAGCCCAGAGCCCGACGCGGGGCTCGAACTCACAGACGGTGAGATCGTGACCTGGCTGAAGTCGGACGCTTAACCGACTGCGCCACCCAGGCGCCCCAATAAATGTTTGTTTTATAATATTGAAAAAGTCAATCAGTTTAGGTGTTATATGGGAAAATTTTTAGTTAATTCAGGCTACATATACTTGATGGAATATTATGCAGCTATAAAAATCATAACTGTAGGGGCGCCTGAGTGGCTCAGTTGGTTGGGCATCTGACTTCAGCTCGGGTCATGATCTCGCAGTTTGTGGGGTTGTCGGTTTGAGCCCCGCATTGGGCTCTGTGCTGACAACACAGGGCCGGCTTTGGATCCTCTGTCTCCCTCTCTCTCTGCCCCTCCCCTGCTCACATGATCCCTCTCTCTCTATCTCTCTCAAAAATAACCAAAAAAAAAAAAAAAAAAGAAATCATACCTATATGGGACCTGTGTGGCCCAGTCAGTTAAGCATTCGACTTTGGCTCAGGTCACAATCTTGTGGTTTGCGAGTTCAAGCCCCGTGTTGGGCTCTGTGCTGACAGCTCAGAGCCTGGAACCTGTTTCAGATTCTGTGTCTCTGTATCTCTGCCCCTCCCCTGCTCATGCTCTATCTCTCTCTCACTCAAAAATAAAAATAAAACATTTTGAAAATTAAAAAAAAATCACAGCTATAAAGAGCATCTTGCAATACTGAAAATGCTTACGACATATAATTAACAGAATTTAGATAAGAAAACCAAGATAGAAGGTTTCACATATACTCTGATCACAATAATATAAAGAAGATAAATGGGAATACCCCAAAATTATACTGTATTCCTTCTCAGAAGTAAAACTTTAGTATCCAATAAACTTACCACTGAAGAAGAAAAGGAGGATGCTGGATACCAAGTGGAATTCACCTTGGAAGAGACCTGTGAGGTAAAAGAATGATTATTTTGATAAATGAGAGCAGAAAATTATTAAAACTTGGAATGGCTACCATATGCTTAACATTACACTAGTTACTATGGGCATACGAAAAATGATTTGGTGTTTGCTCCCAAGGGTCATATAGTCTTTAAGGAGACAAGATAACAGACGATGAGGTACGGCAAACTATAAGAAAATAATAAACCATAATGATCATGTCCTCAGTGTCCAGGGAAGTCCTGATTTAAAAAGTTTTGGTGGCTCAGTCAGTGAAATGTCCAACTCTTGACTTTAGCTCAGGTCATGATGTCACGGTTCATGGGTTCGAGCTCCACATTGGGCTCTATGCTGACGGTGCGGAGCCTGCTTGGGATTCTCTCTCCCTGTCTCTCTGCCCCTCCCCTGCTTGCTCTCTCTCCCTCTCAAAATAAAGAAACTTAAAAAAAGTTTTTTTATTGGACCATATTTTCCTAATTTTTGGCCTGGAAAATGTAGTCACCACAAATCTTAACAATATGAAAACTCTTAAATGGTATCCAACACAATCGGTGTCGAATATAAGATAGCATAGAACCAAGTGTCAAATGTAAGTGTAAGTATTTACAGGCCCATATAAATACTTGAACGTAAATGTTTATAGCAGCTTTGTGAAAGCCCCAAACTTAGCAATAACCAAAATGTCCACCATTGGATGGGTGAATAGGGAAACTAATGTGGTATATCCATACATTGGAATAGTACTCCGCAATGAAAAGAACTATTACACATGCAGCAACTATAGCAATTATAACTGGGTAAACTGGATAACTATAGCAATTATACTGGGTAAAAGAAGTCAGACATGCAAACAGTATACACTTTATGATCTCATTTATATAAACTAGAAAATGCAAACTAATCTATAGTGTTAGAAAGCAGATCAGTGGTTGCCTGGGGATGATAGAGGAAGTGGAGAAGATGGGATAGGAAGGTAACTTTTTGGGATAACAGATATGCCCATTATCTTGAATGTGATATTTCCACAGGTGTATATAAATATAAAACTTGGGGTGCCTGGGTGGCTCAGTCAGTTAAGCATCTGGCTCTTGGTTTTGGCTCAGGTCATGATCTCTTGGTTTGTGAGTTTGAGCCCCACATCAGGCTCCATGCTGATGGTGCAAAGCCTGCTTGGGATTCTCTCTCCTTCTCTCTCTCTGTCCCTCCCCTACTCCTGTGCTTTCTCTCTCTCAAAATAAATAAAATTTAAAAAAAAACCACGAATATAAAACTTATCAAATGGTATACTTTAAATATGTAGAGTTTATGTCAATTTTATTGCAATAAACTTGTTTAAAAAATGCCACATGTACCTTATAGGAAAAGAATGTGTTGTATAGGTAACATTTGATAGGGTATAATCAGCAAATTGGGGAGAGGGGCCAGTTACAATAAAATAACTTCATTTGTATATATGCTATAGAAGTTGATTTAAGAAATATTCAAGTCAATTAGGAATGGGAAGTAGAGGAAAACTGTATTCTAAAAATCTTTTATCTTGTCTGAAGACAGACATGTTTTTACTTTTTATTTTTAACATTTATTTATTTTTGAGAGACAGAGTGTGAGCAGGGGTGGAGCACAGAGAGGGAGACACAGAATCCAAAGCAGGTTTCAGGCTCCAAGCTGTCAGCACAAAGCCCCACACGGGCTCGAACTCGTGAACCATGAGATCATGATGTGAGCCAAAGTCGGCACTCAACTGACTGAGCCACCCAGGCGCCCCAGAAGACAGACATGTTACTCAAAGGGTTTGGGGCTGCATGAAATGCAAGAATTTGTTTGTGTTCCTGCAGTACTATCTAGGGGAAAGGGTGCCAGTCCTTTGGGCCAGCAGAAGATTCTTCCAAATGACTCATCTACTTCCTCTCCCATTCCCCACAAAAATTATTTCAAACCATCCACACTCTTCTAGAGCCCACCATGTTTTATTTATAGGCATGTTCCCAACATCAACATGGTACCTCGTACATAGGAGGTGTTTAATAAGTATCTATGGAACAAATGAAAGGTCTACTGGGTGGCTGACTGCCCCCAACCAAGACTTGGTTAGGTGTCCCTTTTTGGACTCCCATAGCAGCCAGTACTTCCCCTATCAGGTTTATCTGTCTGTGCTGTAGTTGCCTGGTTACTTGTCTGTTGCCCAAAAGACTTGAGTTCCATGACGGTAGGCACTGCATCTGTCTTGTTCACCTACTTTACAGTTATTGTGATCAAGATTGTCCAGATATGGAAAATAGCAAGTTGTTGGTGCTCATTCAACGTTACTATTATATTATTATAAATACTTTTTGCTGTGACTCCTTGTTATTTGGAAACTTCTCTTATCTCCTATTATGTCTTTGCTCCTTGCCACAACTCTGTCTTCTCACTACTTAGTTGTTCTTACTCCTTGCTATTTCAAAACTTATTCTCTTAAAACTTCCAACCTTGCTGCTTCCTCTCTCATTCTCAAAAGCTGACCTTTGTTTTTCCTACTTCAGAGGGAACAGAAACCATCAGATGAGAACTTCAACTTCCTACTAGCAACCCTACAAAACTGACCTATACCCATCCTTTTTCCCTCCTTTTCGCTTATAAGGGAGAAGATAGTCAATCACAATCACAAGCTCTGTGGGGACAAAGTGACTGGGAGACTGAAGCATACAACAAGTATCTATGGACTGACCAATGAGGCACCTGTCCTCCAACTGAAGGCTAATCTCTGCGCCTGTGCTCTAAAGCCAACTTTTCCCACTACCCCAGACACATCTATCGATGATCCTTTCTTTCCTGAAACTTAAACCTCTCTCCATCCAATAGCAAGGATTCTCTATACTAATTACCTTTATTTCCTCATTTCCCGCTAACCCTTCAATCTACTCCAACCTTCATGACTAAACACCAGTGACTTCCTACATCCCATGGGCTCTTCCCAGTTCTTCTGTACTTAACCTTTTCCCACCCTTTTCACCAATCTTCAGTATGTCCTGATATCATCCTCTGCTCCCTGGCCGCTAACAATTCCATTTCCTCAAGACTTGGTCCTAGGCCTTCTTTTCTCATTCTGCACATTCTCCTCAGGTGATTTCATCAACTCCTGTAGCTTGATTATCTAGATTCTGATGATGCCCAAATCTAGTTCTTAGCCAGCTTCCTCTTCAGATAATAGCTACCTAATTGTCTTCACCACACCTCTATGTGGATGTTATTTAGGTACATATTGAGAAAGCTGAACTCCTCATCTTCCTCTCACCAAGCTGCTCTGCTTTCTATATCCCGCTTTTCAGTGAAGGGGACCACTATTTACCTTGTTGCCCAAGAAAAAACCAGCATGTCACCCTAACTCCTCCCTCTCTCTCCACAGTGAATCAAATCCTGGCAATCATTCCTCCTAGAAGTCTCTGGAACACAGAGACTTTTTTTCTCTATGCTGCCTGTCATCACTACAGTCTATACCATCACTGTCTCTTACCTGGACTTCAGTAACTGTTTCCTTACAGGTTGCCCAGACTCCAGTTTTAAGCTTTCTGAATCTAGCTTCCTCCCCCATGCCAGAGCGGCTTTCTAAAACACAAATCTGGGCAGATGACTCCCTTATTTAAAAAGCTCCAATGGCTTTCCACTGTTCTTAAAGGCTAATCTTGATGTTGCTTAGAAGACTTCCCATGGCATCTTTACTTTTCATAGCTTGCCACTTTCCTCCTTGCTGTCTATGTTCTAGGCATTTGGAACATGTTTTGTGCTCTTTTTGCCTGTATACATGCTGCTGCTCCTTGCATGGAATTCTGTTTGCTTGACTCACTCCTATTTCTTATCTCCCTACTTAGCCATCACTTTGGGTATCAGTGAAGATCAGTTTTATGTTTGCCAGTAGGAAGTTGAGGAAGTTCTCAACTGACAGTTTCTGTTGCCTTTGAAGTAGGGAAAAAAAAAGGTTAACTTCTGAGAGTGAGAGGGGAAATAGAGTCAGAAGCTTTTAAAGTCACAATCTCAAGTTTAGGTCAAGCACCTGATTATACAGCTCTTACAACACCTAACTTCCTCCATTTCTTATATCATATTATGGAATAACAGATTGTTTAATTATTAAGTCTCTTTCCCCTTAGGTCACTAGATGGCTGTGTCCTCAGATCCTGGCATTGTTCCTGGAATAGAGTAAGCATTCATTAATACATTTGCAGAATGAAAAATTGAGTACTGGCCAAGCAATCATTTGGTATTCATCATGTTTCATGTTTACTCTCTTACAGGGCAGAAAATGCACAGATCAGTCAACTTGAGGATGCTAGGCCACTTAGTTTTATTTTTTTACTTGCACACAGCCTCCTTGCTGTCAAGAGGGCATAAAAGGCACTGCATCTTGCATAATAAAACATTAGCACATAATTTTTGATGGGTTGGATCTCCTATCTTTTCTTCATTTCCTAAAAAAACATTCATTACCACTGTTGTTAAACTATCCTGCTTCCAGTCACACCAAAATTCTTCCTCTCTAGACATTTACTACATACTTGTTTCCTTCTTCAGTCACTCCCTTTCCCCTTGGCTGAAGGCCTGCTAGTCTTGCAAAACTCAAGCTGGAGCCAACTCCTTTTGGATTTTTTTCCTCAATTGTACAGATTGAGTATGAGATAGTTTCCCTACACCCCTGCAGTACTCTGTGCACTCCTACTGTTAGTGCTTACTATTGCATTACAATAGGGGAGCCTACAGTGTGTGTCTTACTTAATCTCTCCTTTCCCTTCCCAAAGCCTGGGGACAGTACCTGACATAGAAAGAGATACCAAGACTTACGTCCTGAATTCTCACCCCATCAGTCACTAGTTGGGAGATACTGGATCGGCTTAAGTGTCAGGTATTTATTTCATTATATTCATGAATTCCAATCTTCACAAATATTCTTGAAACTAAAAAGTGGTGTTGTTAGGATAGAATGCAAGCATGACTGTGAAGTCTGTACTCTTTAAACCACATCACCGAGGCAAGCCACTGAGTGTCTTTAAGACTGGTTTTCTTGGGGGGTCTGGATGGCTCAGTCAATTAAGTGCCTGACTGCTGATTTTGGCTCAGGTCATGACCTCACAGATCATGAGTTTGAGTCCCACATTGGGCTTTGCACTGGCAGTGTGGAGGCTGCTTGAGATTCTCTCTCCCTATCTTTCTGCCCCTCCCCTGCTCGTGCTGTCTCTGTCTCTCTCAAAATAAATAAATAAACTTCAAAACAAAAAAGACTGGTTTTCTTTACCTCTGAATATGCTAAATCCATCATAAGTTGAAAATACATTTAATATATCTAACCCACCAAAAGAACATCATAGCTTAGCCTAGCCTACATTAAATGTGCTCGGAACACTTACATTAGCCTACAGTTCTACAAAATCATCTAACACAAAGACTATTTCATAAAAAAGTGTTGAATATCTCATGTAATTTACTGAATGCTGTTCTGAAAGTGAAAACCAGAATGATTGTATGGGTACAGAATGCTTATAAGTGTATCAGTTGTTTAACCTCGTGATCATGTGGCTGATAGAGAGCTGTGACTCCCTGCTGCTGCCCAGCATTCCTCAAAAGTCTCATACTGCATTTTGCTGGGGGGTGGGGACGATAAAAATTCAAAACTTGGAAGTACGGTTTCTACTGAATGCATATTGCTTTCACACCATTGTACAGTCAAAAAGTCTCAAGCTGGGGTGCCTGGTGGCTTAGTTGGTAAAGCGTCTGACTCTTGATTTTGGCTCAGGTCATGATCTCACAGTTTTGTGGGTTTGAACCCCAAGGACAGCTCTGTGTTGACCCTGCAGAGCCTGCTTCGAATTCCCTCCCTCCCTCTCTCTCTCTCTCTCTCTCTCTCTGCCCCTCCTCTACTCACACACTCTCTGTCTCAAAATAAATTAAAAAAAAAATAGTCGGGGTGCCTGGGTGGCTCAGTTGGTTAAGTGTAGGACTTCGGCTCAGGTCACGATCTCATGGTTTGTGGGTTTGAGCCCCACGCCGCGCTCTGTGCTGACAGCTCAGAGCCTGGAACCTGCTTTGGATTCAGTGTCTCCCTCTCTCTCTTCCCCTCCCTCACTCACACTCTGTCTCTCTTTCTGTCTCCCAAAAATAAATGTTGAAAATTTTTTTGTGATTAAAAAAATTTTTTAAGTCTTAAGTTGAACCATTGAACATCAAGGACTATCTATACTTAAAATTACTGAAAACAAGGGCACCTGGGTGGCTCAGTCAGTTAAGCATCCAACTTTGGCTTAGGTCACAGTCTCATGGTTCATGAGTTCGAGCCCCGCATTGGGCTTTGTGCTGAAAGCAGGGAGCCTGCTTGGGATTCATTCTCTCTCTCTCTCTCCTCTTTCTCTGGCCCTCCCACACATACTCTCTCTCAAAATAAACTTTAAAAAAATTACTGAAAACACCAACTCTTTCCTTTACAGACCCTTTTGATGATCCTCTGAAATTCATGACCCCCAGAATCTAGACTACCTTTTTTTTTTTTTTTTTCAGTTTGAGAGAGTTAGAGAGAGAGGAGCACAAGCAGGGGAGAGGGGTCAAGGGAGAGAAAAACAGAATCTTAAGTAGGTTCCACAGTCAGCATGGAGCCCAATGCAGGGCTTAATCGCACGACCCTGGGATCATGACCTGAGCTGAAATCAGGAGTTGGATGTTCAACCAACTGAGACATCCAGGCGCTCCTAGACTACTCTTTTTTTTTTTTAATTTTTTTTTCAACGTTTATTTATTTTTGGGACAGAGAGAGACAGAGCATGAACGGGGGGAGGGGCAGAGAGAGAGGGAGACACAGAATCGGAAACAGGCTCCAGGCTCCGAGCCATCAGCCCAGAGCCTGACGCGGGGCTCGAACTCACGGACCGCGAGATCGTGACCTGGCTGAAGTCGGACGCTTAACCGACTGCGCCACCCAGGCGCCCCTAGACTACTCTTTATCAAAGTTTCATGTTATAGTAACTCCTCTTTGGCTAAGAATTACTATTTATGTTCTTTCCCAGGTCAACTCGGAAGTTTCTTCAAATGAATCAGAAAATAGTGTCTGTTTCCAAAATAAAATGCATAGAAAGGGAGATTCCTCTCCTTGATTCAAAGCACAAAATACCTTCTTAAGGCCATCATGACTCACTGTGATGGTGGGGAAGCAAAGGAAAAAAACCAATTTTAGTAAAAGATTTCAAGGATAAATTGGTAATGGAAATTACAGGGTAGAAACTTTGTATCCCTACTATAAAAAAAGGTCCTAGAAAAACAACTAGGATCACAGCAAGAAATAGATGAGTGAAGCCAGACTATCTGACAAACTTTTCCGGCCCATTCTCCTCACTGTCCCGTTAAAAAGCATTTAAACATGAACCTTTACTGACTTTGCTAAGAATTTAAAAAATGCATTAAGTTTCTGCAGTAGAACTCAATGCAACCTGGTAAGTGCTAATATTATCTAAAAGCCCAGCAATATAGAGGAAGAAGTTCCCAGGCTGGATGTAACAAGTAAAAAGGGCAAAGCTGTTTCTTGTAGGTTGGAGAAACTTTGCCTGCAGTAAACCTTGCCTAAGTACTTGCTGGGTTGTGAAAACTGGGGAAAGGCTATAAACAGAGTTAGAAACCACCCTCAGGCACGCAGAACGGACCCAATCCCCACCATGGACAAGTGTGAGGTTGTGTTAGCACACTCAAAGCTGACTTTGGGTTAGGACCTTGGAATTAACACTTCTTGTTTATTTTCTACCACCCATTTTAGAGTTGTTTATCACCTCATTTTCTATCACTTTTTTAAAGATGTTTAGTCCCTTGCATATGCTTGGAACATCTGGTAGTATAACTATGTGTCCTTATTTACCACCAACAAGAATACTGTAACTTTGCTAAAAGTTTAAATGAAACTCTTGGCAAGAAAAGGGACAGCCTACAGCCTGTGGAAAAAACAAAGAGCCATAGCTAGGTTAAACAGCTCAGCAAATAACTGCTTTGGGGAAAACCTAGTGTACGTCTTCTAGAAGGATATTCGAAGTTCATTCACGGACCCTCCCCCTCGTGTGCTTCCTTTACCACGGATTACAGACAGTGAAGTAGGGTGGGGGGAAGGGAACAATCTGGTCGCTCTGGGCAGGAGAAAGAGCTCTAAGAAAGGTGACCAGAAAAGGGAGTTTCTGGAAAATAAGGTGAGAGAGGTGACTGGCACAGAGGTGAAAAGGAAACATGGTGAGTGGACCAAAGTAAGTGAGGGCACGTGAGCGACTGCAGGGACGGACAGGGCTGGGGGGAGGAAAGTGCGCCAGAGACAGAAAGGGAGAGCCTCCAGAGTAAAAGGGCAGAGAGCCAGGGGTGACAGTCCAGGATCCAACGAGGGGGGATGAGAAGTGAAGACTGGGACAAGGCCTCACGCGCCGGGTGGGAACTGGAAGGTCGGCTAAGAAGGGGTTGGCTCAGAGAGTGGACGGAAAGGACCCAATTCCTAGCTTCGCCGTCCCTCGGTAGCACCCTCACTTGCCTGCAGGATCCGGGTCCGCACTGCTGCCGCCGCCGCCACCGCCGCCGCCATGGTCCTCAGCTGCCTGCAGTCGGCCTCCACGAGCCCCTACTGCGGGTGACTCCCTAGAAGCGCCACGGCTGCCAGGCCCAGCCCTTCCAGCCTGCCGCACTTCCTCATTGGTGGAGAAGACTATTTCCTCTAGCCAATCACGCACCCTAACACCTTACTGCACTCCTCTCAGTCGCGGGCTTGGGGCTACGCGATTGGTCCGAAGTGGAAGAGCCCTAGCCCCCTCCCAGCTCATAAAATTCCGTTGGCCGAGGTAGGAAAGTCGCCACTGACTTGAGTACTCTGTATTGAGCACACGGAGAAGACGCCCCCTAAACGGGAACCCCGATTGGCCACAGGTACGACGGCGGTCCCACCCCCTCACCGAAGAAAGTAAATAAGACCCTTGAAGAACTTTGCAGTCGCCGCACCTCATCCACTGCGCGAGGGGGTGTGGCCAGCACTGGAGGCGGGGCTAGGCAAAGCTTGCCCTATGGGGCGGGGAAATGAGACGGGGCTGCAAGTTGGGGATAGGGGTTTCTCTCTGGGGGCGTGGCTTATGGAGCCTAGCTTTCCCGCCGACGGTTGGCCACGTCACGTGACATGGGTTGGAAGATGGCGTCTCCCACAGACGGTAAGAGCCGGCATAGAGACCTTTCGGCTGCAACCTGCTTTACTCTGCTGGTGACTTCCATTCTCTGCCTGCCCTTCGAACTTACACTTTTGTTCTTGAGCTCCAACCCTTTCCTTTAGGCTTCTTTTTCTTAGGATGCGGGTGCGTCTTCAAGCTCGCCTGTTCTTCACAGTAGCTCCGGAGGTGCCCCGTTTCCCCTCTGCGTACCAAGCGGGTGGAGGAGGGCACCCTCGTGGGGCCCATTCCAGGAGGAAGGTCGGGGTCGCTCTAGCCCTCCCTTCGCCCCATTTGGGTGAGGCAGGGCCGAGGAGGATATACTGCTGGGGGGAAATGTGATGCTTTAGTGTAGTTTTCTTCTCAGGGCACCCCATGGAAGGGTCGATTCTCTTCTTTTTGAGCATCTGGGAAGATTCGTTCAAACCCTAGCTGGGGTTGGTGGCTGACCTCATTCCCGGAATTAAGCCACAAGCAAAACCTGATATTCTCCTGTCTCGGTAGATTGGGACCGTTGCCCTGTTTTGGTCCCTTCCGTCTTGGTCCCTTCCCAGAGAAAGATGAGAATTGAGCTTTTCGTAGTCATGTACTTATCTCATACTCTCTTGCTTCTTCTGTATGTATTTCCTCAGGCCCAGTGAGTGAACGATTTCTGTCTATATGTTGTCTAAGATACAAGTCACTTCAGATAGCAATTAAGTGGTTTTGGTATATCCGCATTCTTCTGCACTCCATTCTGCCTTATTTATGATTTTGCAGTCATTTCTGAACTCACTTAATTTTTGCTTCTACCGCCCCCATCCTCACGTCCGTTTCATTGATGTGTAGTTTTCTCTTCTCAAACACATTTTGTGTTTGGAAGAAATCTTGAAAGTTTATTTCAGGAATGAGGAAATTGAGGCCAGGAGAGCTATTACTGAGTTTCCACTGTATGAAAGGCAAAATGTTAGGTGCTTTGGGGGAAGAAGAGATTCATCAATCATGTAAATGCTTTTGTACTTTAAGGTCTCATTTTAATCACTTCCCAGAGAAGGCTTCCCAGAACACAGTATCTGAAGTTGCCTCTCTTCACTGTTACTCACTACCTCACTACCTTCACTGTCAGCATAATTAGTCTGTTAATTTTGCCCCTTTCATGCTAGATTATAAATTCCAAGTCTGTCTGTTCATGGTTGGATCCCAGAGTTTAGCACAGTGTCTGGCAAGCAGTAGACCTTCAATTAACATTTTATTTTTAATCAATAATTTACTAGTCTTGGGTTTCAAGTTTAACTTAGTCTTAAGTTTTTTGAGCACAGGTGCATACTGTATAAGAAATGATGGGTGTTCAGCGTCAAAAAATATTCCTTCTGCCTGGATGCTCTCTTAAAATGTCTTTCTTGCCAGAAAAAACAAAAAAGGACATTTATAAAGTCAACTAAGGGAATGGGTGGTTATTGTTGAATAGGGTAGAGAGTTTCAGTTTAGAATGGTGAGAATATTCTGGAGATGGATGGTAATGATGGTTACACAACAGTGTGAATGTTTTTAATGCCACTGAACTGTACCCTTAAAAATGGTTAAAGTGGTACATTTTGTTATGTGTATCTTACCAGAATTTTTAAAAAATCAGGCAAGTGATAGAAGTAGAAGTAATTGCTATTAAAATTTTTAGTTTATGGGGCGACTGGGTGGCTCAGTAGGTTAAGTGTCCGACTTTGCCTCAGGTCATGATCTCGTGGTTCACGAGTTTGAGCCCTGCATCAGGCTCTTAACTGACAGCTCAGCACCTGGAACCTGCCTCAAATTCTGTGTCTCCCTCTTTCTCTGCCTCTCTCCCACTCATACTCTGTCTCTCCCCCGCTCATGCTCTGTCTCTCTCAAAAATAAATAAAAATCATTAAAAAAAATTTTTTTTTTAGTTTATTACTAAGTTGTTTTTATATTTATAAATTTGGAGATTTTAGAATTGTGTTGCTTGTATTTTGTTTTTTTCTTGTGTTCTCTATTTTTTTTTTTCCTTTTTTTGGCTAGGAAGAATATTGGAAACATTGTTTTCCCTTGATCTTCTAGCCATCTCCATAGTCACTCTATTTGCACACTTGATTTTTCAGTTTTCATGCTTATCTTTTACAGAATTGCATTCTTCACCTAAT